TAGCTCTTCCCACACTCAGGACACTGAAATGGTTGCTGTCCTGTGTGAATGCGCCTGTGCAGCTTCAATTCAGAACTCCTTGTGAAGCTCTTCCCACACTCAGAGCACCTGTAGGGTCTCTCTCCTGTATGGACACGCTGGTGGACAATGAGGCGGGATCTCCATTTGAAGCTCTTCCCACAATCAGAGCACTTGTATGGCCTCATTGCTGAGCGCATGCACTGGTGGTTAACGATGCTGGAATCTTTTTCAAAGCTATTTCCACACTCAGTGCATGGATTCTGCTTTTTCTGCTGGCACACATCCTTGCTCCTGGGTTCTTCAGGCTCCTTTTGAACTACATTGAAGTCTAATGGGCTTCTTCCTGTCTTTAACCTACACTTTCCCAGTGGCTCCATGAGCTGCTCACCCTGACCTTGCTCCAGGCCTCCTTGGACATCCCTTCTGATTTCTTCCACACAAACACCACCCCACCGCCTTTTGGCCACACCACTTTCCTGCAGGTCCTCCAGTATATCTGCAATGCCAGTTCCTGCTGGATGACAGGAAATCCAGAAATAGCACACAGTGCCCAAAATAAAACACAGACAGAGATGGCTCTTCCAGACCCAACCTCCTCCTTCCCTCCACCACCTCACCTGGGCTGAGGTCTCCTGGCACGGCCTCAGGGCTACGCACATCTGGGATCCAGGGCTCTTCCCCTTCTTCAAGCAGGGAGATCAGCACAGGTTTGGAGGCTGGAAGTGGAGCTTCAATGAGAGAAACGGGGGAGATGAGAACAATTCATAGAATCATGGAATCATGGAATCATAGAATCATGGAATCACAGGTTGGAAACAAACTGCAAGATCATCTATTCCAACCACCCTCCCATTCCTATTAGTACCACAAGCTACTAAACCATATCCCGTAGCTCCTCACCCAGGCAGCTCTTGAACACTGCCAGGGATGGAGACTCCACCACCTCCCTGGGCAGCCATTCTAGTGCCTGACCACCCTCTGAGAGAAAAAATTTCTCCTAATGTCCAACCTAAACCTCCTCTGGTACAACTTCTGCCCATTTCCTCAGGTCCTACTATTTGCCTGGGAGAAGATGCCAGACCCATTTTCATCACAACCTCCCTTCAGGAAGTTGTAAAGTGCAATGAGGTCTCCCCTGAGCCTCCTCTTCCCCAGACTGAACAATCCCAGCTCCTTCAGCCGCTCCTCATAAGACTTGTGCTCCAGACCCCTCACCAGTTTTGTTGCCCTTCTCTGGACACGCTCCAGGACCTCAATGTCTTTCTTATAGTGAGGGGCCCAAAACTGAACACAATACTTGAGGTTCGGCCTCACCAGTGCTGAGCACAGGGGGACGATTACCTCCCTGCTCCTGCTGGCCACACTGTTTCTAATGCAGGCCAGGATGCCATTGGCCCTCTTGGCCACCTGGGCACACTGTCAGCTCATGTTCAGCCGATTATCAACCAACACCCCCAGGTCCCTTTCCTCTTCACATTTATCCAGCCACTCATCCCCAAGCCTATAGCGCTGCATGGGGTTATTGTGGCCAAAGTGCAGGACCCAACACTTGGCCTTGTTAAACCTCATCCCATTCACCTCGATCCAGCAATCCAGCTTATCTACATCCCTCTACAGGGCCTCCCTACCGTCAGGCAGACAGACACCACCTCCCACCCTGGTGTCATCTGCAAACTTACTCAGGGTACGCTCAACCCCTTCATCTAAGTCATCAGTGAAGATATTAAACAAGATGGGCCCCAGCACCAACCCCTGGGCGAAACCACTTGAAACAGGTCACCAGCTGGACTTAACTCCATTGACCACCACCCGTTGAGTACAGCCCTCCAGCCAGTTCCTTATCCAATGGAGGGTAAAACTGTCCAAGCCACGGGCAGCCAGTTTCCACAGAAGGATACTGTGAGAGACCATGCCAAAGGCTTTGCTGAAGTCTAGGTAGACTACATAAACAGCCTTTCCCTCATCTACCAGTCTGGTCACCCAGTCGTAGAAGGAGATGAGGTTGGTCAAACACGACCTGCTTTTCATGAACCCATGCTGGCTGGGCCTGATCCCGTGGACGTCACGCACAAGCTGTGATCTTTCCCAGGAGGATTTGTTCCATGACCTTCCCTGGCACTGATGTCAAGCTAACAGGCCTGTAGTTTCCCGGATCCTCCTTATGGCCCTTCTTGTAGATGGGAGTCACATCAGCAAACCTCCAACCCTCTGGAACCTCTCCTGTCAACCAGGAGCGCTGGTAGATAGCCGAGAGCAGCTTAGCAATCACCTCTGCATTCCATTATTCCATCATTAGGCACAGTGCCTGTTCAAAAGCTCCACCCTGTGTTCCCCTCCCCAGGGAGAAATCACACTTTGGGCCTGAATGATACAGGGTCCACAGCTTCCTGTGGAGCAAAGAATGCTTTTACAACTCTGAAAATTAGGAAGGGATTTTCCTTTAACATTAACTTGAGAACAGTTTGTTTATTTTCTGACAGTATATCAATGACCAAGACATCAAAATGTTTATGGCCATTCAATGCAAAATCCGACATTGTAAAGGAGTAAGAAGGGTGTCATCTGTTAGCTGGAGCTGGTGGCACAGTGTAAAGCACCAATAGAAGGGCTGTTTTTCACCTTCCTGCTGATGCCTGCTTACCAGCACTGATACTGGGGCGTTTATGAGCCTGCTGTGCATACTAATCCCTTCTGAAACTCATGCTTCTCAGTATTTCCTTTGTTGCTGTTGCTGTTACCAATATGTAACTGCACGGCAATTTTACTAGCTCCAGCCTGCAGAGGCTCCTTCTGCACAGCCAAAAGTGCCCTAACAAGGAAGAAAGGAAGCAAAGCCCTCACCCAGCGAGGCCACGCACTGGTACGTCTCCAGCATCACGTCCCGGTACAGCGCTCGCTGCACAGGGTCCAGCAGCGCCCACTCCTCCCTGCTGAAATACACGGCCACCTCCGCAAAGCTCACGGGCTCCTGCAAGCAAAGAGGCTCCTTGCTGGGAACAGCCAAGGCTCAGGGAAGCAGCTCAAACAGGACACAAACTCCCGTCCCAGCCGCTTCTCTGGCCCCAGCACACACACACGCTGCCTGAGGCCACCTCCCTCTCCCCCTGCATTCACATCCCTCGCCCCTCGGCCTCTCCTGCCTGCTTCCCCCAGCCCCTACCTGAGATGGATGTGCTGTGGCCATCTGCTGCTCTCCTGCAGCTGAGATGATCACGGATGGAAGGCAGAGTTGAACAGGAGCCTGCAGGGACAAGAGAAATGGCAGGGGAGCTGTGAGGGAACGCAGCAGTCCCTGTCCCAGCCCAGCCCTCCACAGCCCATCTGCAGGGCACTGCCTGGGGGATGGCACAGCAGGCCTTGCACAGGAACACAAGCAGCAACAGCACTGGTAACGCTCTGCCTACAGCTGATTACAAATCACAAAGCTGACTCTAACAGGGTGGCAGAAAGAACTGATACCCGGTTCAACAGCTGGGGGCACATGGACTGTATCACAGAATCACAGAATTGTAGGGGTTGGAAGGGACCTCCAGAGATCATCGAGTCCAACCCCCCTGCCAAAGCAGGTTCCCTACACCAGGTCGCACAGTTAGGCAAAAGAGACAGAGACAGACTGTATGCCTAAAGACAATGCATAGCAAGGAGGCAGTCATCTTACCCCTAAACAGGGAGCAGCCCAAGTGCCCCTTGAGCTCTCCTGCACAGCAATGGGCTGCATGACAGGATCTCCCCACAATCAGGGATGGCTCTCAAGGTCACACCTCTACAGAGATCCCTATCAGCTTGATACCAAGACACCTTGCTGACACAGATCTTCTGTAAGAGACCCAGGGTTCGTTTGGAGCTTTGTGAGCTTCTCTAAGGTGATGTGCTACAGTGAAGATCTCAAGGTAATCTCACAATCATAGAATGGCCTGGGTTGAAAAGGTCCTCAATGACCATCTAGTTTCTACCCTCCTCCTATGCGCAGGGTCACCATCTACCATACCAGGCTGCCCTCAGCCACATCCAGCCTGCCCTCGAATGCATCCGGGGATAGGACATCCATGACCATGGCAACATCTTGCAGTGTGTCACCACTCTCTGACTGCAAAACATCTTCTGACTATCTAACCTAAATCTCCCTTGTCTGAATTTAAAACCATTCCCCCTTGTTCCATCAAAATACACGCTCGTAAAAAGCCGTTTTACTTCCCCACTAGTTTATGCTTTTCTTTCACGTACTGGAAGGCCACAATGTGGTCTCCACGGAGCCTTCCCTTCTCCTCGTTAAACAAGCCCAGTTCCTCCATTGCACCAAGAATGCAATGACGGCTAAATTTCCCTCCTCTCCCACCAGGGGGTGCCGCTTCCCATTCAGCTCCGCACGCACACCGCGCTCACGTCACGGAACGGTTCTCAGCACCGTGCGCCCTTTGCACGAGGCAGCCTGGGCTGCACTTTACTGACGTGCTGCTCGGGCGCGTTCTCAACGTGTGCTCCAGTCAGCACACAAGATCTCAGCTTTTCAGGGACTGTTACACAGCCCAGTGCCGGGGCTGGCGCAGATGCTGGACGTGCTCAGGGTCCGCAGCTGTACGCTAGAGGCATCTGCAGCTGCCGGAACAGCCTGAATAACAGCCTTGGGAGGGGTTTGCACATCCCCAGGTGAGCCATCAGCCCAGCGCTATGCGCACAAAACGTAACGCTGGAAGGGCAGCTAGAGGCAGATGTTGCCTGCTGGGTCCCCGAAGGGAAACTGCGGGCTGCCGGGAATGGGGAGGGGAGTGGAAATTCCCCCCCTGGAGGATTCACGTTCAGACACTCAAAAGAAGGCATCGGGGAGTTGAAAGCGTCCATCAATCCATGCGTGCACAACTGCCGAGCGAGGTCATCTCGTGTCTCCCGTGGCCCACAGGGAGAAACGCAGTCCCAGCTGGGCTGTGTTACAGAGAGCCGACCGGGCAGCACAGAACGCTGAGCTCCTCTGCTCACTTCCTTGCTGTCCCAGCTCCAACCCCTTCCCGTGTCCCTCGGAGCCCAACCCGGGCTGTAACACGCCTGGCACCGGGCTCCCGCCTGGGCTACAGCATTGCCGGTTCCGCCCCGCCCGCTGACGCTCCCCGCTCCCCTCCCGCTGCTGCTGGCAGGGGGCAGGAAGCGTGCGCTCCTCTG